GTCCTTCTCCGTCACTCTTCTCTGTGTGTGCTTCGTTTCTTAGGAAGGAACCTCAAAATTTGCAAACCTGGACAGCAGTGTGAAAGAAAACCAGAAGCGGACTCAGAGGCGGCTTCAGCTGCAGAAGGATATGGTGTGTACAGCCCTTGGTCTTCTCTGAGGCCATCTGCAGGGCGTCCATGCTTTCATACAAGTTCTCCTGTCCCTTACCTTGTTTTTACGCAGCCCCGCTGGGAGGTCTGTAGGACAGATGTTATTACTCCCATTTGACCCAGTGGAGAATGAGCACTGAAAATCAGAAGTCGTGGTGTTCTCCGGAGCATTTTTTTCTCTTTGGCGGTATGGGAAAGTCTGCAGCAGGTAGACTTCCATCCCTCTTACTCTGTCCACTCCTGCACTTAGAAGCTGCTGCTACCTTGGCCTTGAGACCTCCCGGGCTTCAGTTCCCTGATGGGAATGACACTGTAGTCAGCTTTGGACACACAGTGGCTCAGGACCTGGGTGCTGAGGAAGGAGCGTCTGCACCCGGGGGGACTTGGTCTTTGTACTTGGTGATCCCCGATCCCCTCGTTTGTTCCAGAGCCTCTAGTCATTTTCCAGCTCTCCTTCCTATAACCCCGAGGACTCAGCAAACCCTTCTAGGTCTCCGATACTCAAAGGGGTATTGTACCTCCCTCCTTAAGTCGTTACGATCTTTAGCTTTATTTTGTAAAACGAACAAACAAACAAAAAACCTCTCCTAACTTTTAGCAAGAAGTTGGGAAAACCAGAGAGAGATTAGAAACTGACAAAGTCTGCATAGTCCCTTCCCAGCTTAGGGAGGGTTTTCTCCTTCTTTGGGAAGCTGGATATAAATCAGGAACATTTTTGAATGATAGGACTCTTCTGTAACATAAAGCCTATAAAAAAATCCACAGCACTGCAAACCTTTTTAGTTGTTCAAAGACAAGTTAAAAATAGCTGTTAAAAAAAGATTATTTTAGGTCAGGATGAGACCTTGTACACATAATGGGGAAGGACAAACTGCAGCTGACAGTGAGTTCCTGAAGGACAAAACCCTCCTTGTGAACCTCACGAAGCAGCTCTGCTGAGGAAACAGCCAGCTTCCCGTCCAGCAGCCTGGTCTTGCCCTGGCTGAGACTCTGTTTTCTTGCTAGAATTTCCATAAATGCCTCAGTGGGATTTAGGATAAAGTGTCCATGGAAGCCCCTTTTTCTTTTCTTTTCAAAATGGTTAGTGCCTTAGTGGCTTTCTGGAGAATAGAGATTATTTCAATGAAAATGTGGTGAAATTAATATAGTATGTACCTGTAGTTGAAGTATTTCTACCTTGACCTCCAAGGGTAAATTTTTAAAAAATAAGTTTTTGCTTTTTGTTTTTTTTAAATTTTGGAATTTACAAGTAAGTTCCAGATAGTTCCTGTGAACTCTCACCCAGTTTTCCCCTTGTTGACATCTGTAACCATGGCAGTCTACGGCCATGCCACCCTGAACACACCCGATCCCGTCTGATCTCGGAAGCTCAGCAGGGTCGGGCCTGGTTAGTACTTGGATGGGAGACCACCTAGCAAGACCAGGTGCTGTAGGCATAAACCAAACAAACAAACAAATAAGTAAATAAGTAAATAAATCAAATAAAAAACATAACCGTGGCACAACTGTTGATACTAAGGCACTGACACCGGCATACAACTGTTAACTGAAATCCGGACTGTACTGAAATTTCCACGCTTTTCCATTAGCATTCTCTTTTCTTCCGGGAACCAGTCCCGCCTACCACGTTCATTTAGCTGCCATGTCTCCCCAGTCTCCTCTGGTCTGTGACAGTTTCTCAGTCTTTCCTTGTTTTCTGGTCTTTGACGGTCTTAAGAAGCACTGTCCTGGTCCCCTTAGAACGTCCCACAGTCGGGGCGCATCTGTCTTCCTGGTGGTTAGACTGAGGTTATGGGTTTGGGGAGGAATATCACAGAGGTAAAGTGCCGTTCTCATCACAACACATCAGGGAGTGGATGACATCAGTGTGACATCTGGTGTCACTGGTGATGTTACCATCGATCACTTGATTCAGTCGGAGTTTGCCAGGTTTTCCACTTTTAAGTCGCCATTTTTCCCATTCCCTCCTCTAGTCTTTGGAAGCGAGTCACAGTCTAGCCCAAGGGGCCATCGTAAAAGTGACGTCCCCTCCTCTTGTGGTACATATTCTCCCCCAGTGTGCAGCGGTCCACTCTTTCACCGATGACAAGGCCATCTCTGTGCAGGGCCATTCCAGACCCCCTGGAGTGGCCACTCACTCTGGAAGAGAAAAGCTGTCTCGAACACGCTCGCCCAGTCTCCTGGCTTTGAGGCTCAATTTTCATAACTTTGAAAGTTATATATTAGATGATGGAGTTCCTGTCTTATCTGCGTAGGAATTTTAAAAATTTCTTTCATGGACGTTAGTACTAACGGTCCCAAATTAGGCCTCGAATGGTCCAGAGTTATGCGCCAAACCCTGTCGAGGCTTACCTGGCTATTCAAAGATCGCTGCTGCCATCTGCGAAGGGGCACATTGCTAAACGTAGCCACAGCGAGCCCCGTTTTCTCCAATGTGGAGGTTGACGAAACGCTTCAACTCGTCAGTAACAACCAAGACCGTGTCACTGTGCTTGCTCTCCAGGGCGTGATGCAGGGGACTGTGCCCTACCTGGGCACCTTCCTGACCGACCTGACCATGCTGGACACTGCTCTTCAAGACCACATCGAGGTGAGTTCTCTGCAGGTGCGGGAGCTGGGCCTGCAGCCTTCTCGCCAGACACTCAAGAGAGAAAGTTGCTTTTATTAGTATCCGTCGAGGGCCCATTATGTATGTGGCATTGCGTGCCGTGCCGTGAGGAACGCAAAGGTGGATAACACCAGAAGTGGCGCACAATGCAGTAGGAGGTACATGTCAAAGCAGGCAGTGATCGATAGAAATATTAAGAATTCAAACCAGAATGCAATGAGAGAAGAGGGGAGATCGTGATCAATTCCGTATGAGGGATGAGTGGATTTGAGCAAGACCTTGATGTTGAGTCGGACTTTGGGAGGCATTAATATGCACTAACACTGTATTCTGTCTTGTGGGGTAGGGAGTCAGTCAAATCTATGGATTTTCAAGGATTCTTTTTGTTTCTCTTCATATTATTATCCAGTTTGAGGCACCGGCGCTGGTGCACGTATGCACACTCTCTCTCTTCCAATGGGAAAAGAGGTGAACCCGATCAAAGGAGCTACTTGTTAGTAACTGTAACAAAATATTAAGTGGAGAAGAAATCTGATATTTGAAATGAGATTTAAGGATTGCTTGTATATGTTTAAGCTCATCTCACCTCCTTAGTTATCGCATGCAATCAGACTTTATAATTAGAAGGAGTAGCAGATAGTTTGCACAGACCTGCCTCCGAGCTTGTCATAAATGTGTGGATATGCTCATTCATGTTTTGTTTGCCAGGCTGTATGTCTCTTCATATCCTCTACCTCAGCTTATTTCAGGAAACACTCATTAGTGGGGAATTTGGGGGGATGACCAATTATTTAGAAGTTCAATTCGGCCTACTAGGAATAGGAGCTGGGGGAATGAAGAATTGAAACTTAACTTTTATGATGCTATATAGAAGCAACTTCCCTTTTGATAAACTATTGACAATTTGGTTCCTACTATGAGTTAAGGACCGTTTATTTTTGTTGTGTTTGGAACATTGAATAAATGGAACATTTACTCAAGCCTTTGCTTTTCCTGTCTGTGCAAATGTATTTGGGTTCTGAATTGTAACTACTTTATCATTACTATTTTAGTTGGTTTCAGATATTTTAAGAGAAGGCTGTTTGCCTATCCTGTCCTATTCTAATTAAAAGAATGTTTTTCTTCAAAGTAAATTAATAAACAAAACAGAAACAAACTCATAGATACAGAGAACAGATTGATGGCTGTCAAATGGGAGGGGGTTTGGAGAAGGGTAAAAAAGATGAAGGGATTAAGAAGTATAAATTGCCAGTTATAAAAACAGTCATGGAGCTGTAAAGTACAGCACAGAGAATATAGTAAATAATATTGTAATAACTACATACGGTGTCATGGGTACTAGACTTATTGGGGTGATCATTTTGTAAGTTATATAAATACCTAATCACTATGTTATATGCCTGAAACTAACATAATACTGTATGTCAGTGGTAATTGAAAAATAAAAAATTGAAAAAGAATGTTTTTCTTGAAGCAAACAATGCTTCTCTTTCTCCATAATAGCCATAATTATAGTGTCATCAATAATTGTGACTTTATTTTAATCTTAATTAAAATTCTTTGATCTATTTAAATAAGACCTAGGACAACATAGGGCTTGTCTGTGTTTCACAGTAGCTTGGTTTGTCACTTTTTTTTTTTTTAATTTCTTTCAGGGTGGGCTGATAAACTTCGAAAAAAGGAGGAGGGTAAGTAGAGATCTTGGCTGTGATTTTCCATTTTATCTGGGCATGACAAAAGGACAGAAGTGGGGACTTCGGTTTTTTGTAGAGGTAGAAAAAATGAATTAGTATTTATTTGAACATGTGTCGTAGATCACTGTGCATGGCTTATTCCTATACATTATCCTACAGAGCTCTGTGAGGTAGATTTTATCACCCTCAGTTCGACAGCGGGGAAACCAGGACTCAGAGAGGTGTGGCGACTTGACCATAGTCTCTTGGTAGCAGAGTCAAGGTGCCAAGGTTCATATCCTGCCTGGCTGCCCCTAAACCCACATTTCTTTCCTTACCCTCCTCTCCTCCTCCTTTACGATTAGCTTTAGTAACAACAGGTTCATCTTATTAAAGAGAAGGGTTACGAGAGATGGTTGACTCTTATGGGTCTATTTGAGAGAGGAAAAGAAAGGATCTTCATTGTTCCATGTGGATAATTATTCTTTTCCTTTCCTGTCAGCATAGGAAGGGGTGTTCAACATCAACATGAATTTTTCTGGAGACAGTATAATAGTTCTGCGATGTGCTAAAAAAAGATAAAACAGAGCTTAGAAAATTTGCTATGGCTTTAGTGTTAACATGATGTATTTAAAAAGGTGTTTAAAAAATTCAAAGGAAAATGAGTGAGAAAAATAATAACTTTACCCGAGAATACTCTCCACATTCTTGAGTCATTCATTCATTCTTTCATTCCTCAAATATTGATGACGTACCTAGTATGGGTCAGGCATTATGACAGGTTTGGGCACTGCAGTAGGACACCTCCCTGCATCACAAACCGGAGCTCCCTGCCCGCAGAACAGTTCTCAGTCCAAGAGGAAGGCGGACACATAAATAGGCAATTCTAGTGCAACCTGATAAGGTCTTGTGAGCTGAAGTAGTGGGTGTTATAGGAGAATGTAAGAGGGGCATCGATCCCCAACTTGTGGGATCGGAGAAGCTTCCAGGAGGAAATGACATTGAAATTAAAACCCAAACTTCAGGAGCTAAGCCGGCTGAGCTCAGTTAGTAACAAGATACAGTAACCTAGACACATGTAAATCTTCTGCCCTTGATAGAGTAGTGTACTTTCTTCTTTAACCTGATAATAAATGTTCCTTGAGGAAATGGAGACCAAGGACTGAGGTCTTTGGATGGGAAGTTGACACCATAGAATCTGCCAGTTGTTGAGTTACTTCTGTCATGTCCTGTAATGGTAGAATATTCAGGTTTTGCCTCCACAGTCACCCATCTTTGTCCTTTAATAGAATAGCAGTCTCTTCCCTTTTAAGACTAGCATGGTAAACTCTTGGAAGGTCTGAGTATAAAACCTAAGGCTAAAGCCGGTACCCACCCATTGCTGACTTAAAAACAAAATTTTTTATTGACGCATCTAAAGAAGTATAAATAATTTTGGACATAATTATATACTTGCTTCTCTTGTGAGCTTTAAAAGACTTAGTTAAGTGATTTACTGGAGTAGTAAAAACCCAAGGATTCAGGAAATCTAAACATTTAAGTTTATGAGGCCTTAGCTATTCAACCTTACCCTCACTTATTTACTAAGGGATAAGGGTTGAAGGAGAGGGGGGTGGGGAACTTGGGAGCTTCCCGACTAAAAGACAAAATTTTTTTTGTCTTTTACGATACAGAAATAGAAATTTTGAATATGTTTTAGAAGTATTCAATTAAAAAAATAACTTTTCTATCTCTAGACTGGAAATGAAAAAGAGAAAAAAGAAGCTGCTCTGACTTTAAGTCGTAACTATTTCGGGTTGCTTTGGTGGCTCGTTTCATTTATATAATTGCTTTATCAAGGAGAACGGAGGATTAGCAGTTAAAGTATACAAGGACTTGAGAGATTCTGAGTTAGAATTTTAAGGAGTTATTCAACTCTTTTATTTCTAAGGAAGGCAGTGCTTCAGAGTCCTTCCTGATGATTTTCTCTATTATTTATCCTAATGTGACATGTTTTCATGTTGAAAAGATGTATATTTGGTTAACCCTACTATTCACTCTTCCTTTTTGGTATTCTGTCTGCTTTAGGAATTTGAAGTGATTGCCCAAATAAAGCTCTTACAATCTGCCTGCAACAGCTATTGTATGACCCCAGACCAAAAGTTCATCCAGTGGTTCCAGAGGCAGCAGCTCCTAACAGAGGAGGAGAGGTAGGCGCACATTCTGCCCATCGGGCAAAGCTCTGCTGTTGGCGAAAGGAATACTGCATCCAGTTCCTCATCTGGCCATTTATGCAACAGCTGTTAAGTGAGCAGCTTCGAGAGCCTGGGTTTTCAAAGGATAATGGTATAGCAGGAAAAGCTGAATTGATGGTATCAGAAGATGCGCTTTCAGATTCTTGCTCTACCGTTTTTTTATCTTTGTAACCTTGAACGAGTCACTTATTCTTCCTGATCTTCAGGATGCTCATCTATAAAATGTTTGTCGGTGAGGCTTAAATGAAATCATGTTTGGGAAGGCATTGTAAAGAGTGCTTATCTTCATCATCGTCATCACCACCACTACCTCCGCTGTCACCATGTTTGTCACTGTTGTTGATTGATACCAGCTTTCAGGGGATTCTGAATTAAAGAGGGGAGATCGACTCATGAAGAGCTGAAATATGACAAGTAACGAAAGTGCTGTAGGACTTCAGGGCAAGAACGATTTCTTTGGCCAAAAGTGGGGGGAAATAGGGGAGATAATCATAAAGTGTTAACATTTGGGCAGGACTGTGAAGGAGAGAGGAGAGAAGAAAGCTGGAGAAGAACATTCCAGACAGAGAGAAGAACATGAGCAAAGGCCCGGTGGCCTGACGTGCTCGGGTTCGGAGGAGTAGAGAGAACTCTGGTGTGGCTGGGGCGCAGGGGACAGGTTTCAAAGCAGTGGTTGATGGGTGTGGAAGGCACAGGCTCTCCAGTGTTGGCCCAGCAGGGGCGTAGCCTGTCCCATCATCCAGAGGATTGGAGTCCCCGGGCCATATCCAGCCCGCCGCGTGCTTTAACGTTTTTAAATGCGGGAAACAAAGAAGAATGTGACCTAGGACAGTTATTTGAAATTCAAATTTTAGTATCCATAAATAAAGTTGTATTGGAACACAGCCCATTCATTTACATCTTGTTTATGGTTGTTTTCATGCTTTAAAGGCAGAGTTCAGTAGTTGCATTGGAGACCATGTAGCCTACAAAGCCTAAAAAAAATACTTAGTATTTGGTCCTTTTGAGAAAATATTTGCCGACCCCTGCTGTAGACCAGGGGATTTCCTCGAATGTTTCTCATCAGGGAGAGCAAAATTGACAGCAAAATGAGGAAATGAGGTTTAGAGAAGTGTTATAACGAGGCCGTGGTAGAGTTTGGATGTGGTGTTGGGCAAACCAGGTGGCCGCTGTAAGCCTGTTTCCTCATTTGAAAGATAGATGATTTCTGGGATCTTTTAAAATCTCGAAGTAGGTTGCGTTTGCTATAATTAAAGCAAAACCTTCGATTCAGAGTACTTTTTAGTCGGTGAAGAGGTTTTTCTTTGCCACTTAGAAAAGAAAGAAGTTATTGCCTCTCTCCAGGTTCCCAGGTCTGGTGATCAGTTTGTGTGAACTGACTTTCTCTCTATGTGTACGTGCATCCTGCTCTCGCATGGAACATACAGACCATGCTGGTTGGTGGCTTGGATTAGAAGGTCCAGGCTCGAAATATGAGCCGCGTAATTGACTTTTTAATGGTAAAAGTAACCTTGGTAAACACATCTCATTTTTTTTTTTTTTTGCTATTTATAAGCATTTCTACAGCTTATGCTAATATTTGAATAATTCCCATGTCAATGAATACTTCTACTTGAGCAAAAACCTGGACACATCTTTAGGTTTTAAAAAGTACATGTAATTAGCAACTTACCCAGCTAAGATTCACCACGCTTGCTTTTCCTCACCTTCCCCCAAACCAAATATATTCACCAGCTTTCAGAAAAAGACATTTCAAGTCAGATATAAATTCCTCTTGTGCAGGTAGATGTCTGAATCTGGAGCATTTTTAATTTAGGATGTTTTGGCAATTAAAATCCATATGTATATATCTTTATCAGTAATATAACTGTCTGTGTCTATTCACTGAAGAGTAGATAGTTTACGAAAGTGTCATCTTTCATTTTGCTCGGAGAGAAAGTAAATTGGCACAGGCGCATGCGCCCACAGACAAAGTGGAAGGAGGGAGATGCTGGAGGAGAGATGGTTTTTCCACCGGCCTAGCAGCAGGATGAGAAGGATCAGGAAACAGAATGGGGCCAGCCTTTGATGGTGCCACAGCATACAAATCCAGGTTTTTTAGACATGTGGAACTAACCAGCCTCAGTCCATGTGTCAGTGGGGGGAAGAGAGGTGTACTGAACTCTACCTTTAAAGCATGCAAGTTTGTAAAATCTGGTTGTTAAGTCAATACCCTCTGACATTTGTGATAGACAACGTAGTATGTATCTTTACTTTGAATAATCAGAGCCTTCCTCTAAAACAAAACCAGTAAATTCAGTGAATTTAAATCTGTCCTTCAGTTCTCAGCCTCTGACCCCATGTGCTCCCTTCACTTCCCCAGCTACGCCCTCTCCTGTGAGATTGAAGCAGCCCCGGATGCCAGCGCCGCCTTTTTAGAGCATGGTGAAGAGGCTCAGCCTGTGAGTGTCGCCCAGGGGTCCCATCAGAGTGGGGAGAGAGCAAGGGTGCTCAACATGGTCCCCTTGAGCCAGGGTAAAAATGAAGAACAGTTAACTCACTCGTTAAACTTCCTGTCACGACCTCACCGTATACAGTTTCTAAGTCCATTCATGTTCTCTTCTGTCCTGTCTGGTATGAACCACCACCATCTCCTGCCTGGACCACCCCAGAAGCACCCTTGCCTGTTTCTGGGCCCCCCTTGCCCCAACAATCCAGTCTCCCCCAGATGGTCCTGTGGTCTCTTAAAATGTACACCAGATTATATCATTTCCTTGCTTATAAACCTCCGATGGTTTTATTCAAAGATAGCACCCAAACTCCTTCTCCTAGGGTGCTGGGCCCTGAGTGATCTTCTCCAAAACTTCCTGACCACCTTCGTCTCACCCAGCACTGCCCCTTGTTCACCAAGACCCAGCCCTTCTTCTAGCCATCTTTCAACCACAGAGGCTCGTTCTGGCTTCGGGGCCTTCACAGTAGATGTTCCTTCGGCCTGGCATGCTCCTTCTTTCTCCTGTGGCTAAGAAAGTCACTTCTCTAAGGTCGCTGTCGGCCCCGATCACTCTCAATCATGCTGGCTGTCAGTTTTGTTTTGTTTTGTTTTGTTTTCCCAGTGGAATGTAAACCACCTGAAAGCAACAGCCTAGTCCATCGTAGTCTCGGCTGTATGCGTAGCTCAGTGCCGGGCATACGAGAGGCCCGCCGTAGCTCACTTCATCATACCTGGCTCCCTTTGAGTAAAATCTGAAGCCCTGACAATGGCTCTCAAGACTCTGCAGCATCACCTCGCCCACCTGTCCCATAGCTGT